AGCAAATATCACCTCCATAGCTGTTACCGGTTTTGGGGCTCACATTTGCGATACCCCTGAGTTTTAAATGTTTTATCTGGTGTTTTATCAGGTGTGTCAACTATGTTTCAGAAAAGTAAATCTCCTCTGCTGTGCTCTATTAGTACACGTAATAATGACGAAATGTATACTTGTGTAGCAGTGTCTACTCATACAGTTAGTTGTCGTTGCTGTCATTTGTGTAACATATTATACCCGTTATGTAATGCTTTACACAAAATGCTTGGTTTCGCCTATCTCAACCATCCATATGCTTCGCAAACATAATCGTCATCAATCTAGTCATCTGTTTGACAAAGACCTTTATTTATACTGACACCTCTAACTACCCTTTATCTCCAAACAGCCTGTGGTCAGACGTTTGTGGAATCTAAAGGGTCGTTTACGTTACCACCATCAAATTCACTTCACCCGAGCGCCGATGCTATCCATGCAGACGCCCCAGTCTGCCGTTGGAGAATTTTAGCAGATATTGGGGACACAATCGTCCTAAAATTCACGCATATGGGTCTCCTTCCACCAGCGCATACGATGTCACACCCTAGTCCTTACTGCCAAAGGGAGTATGTTGAAGTTAGGAATGGATATCATTCCAGTTCGCCTTTGCTTGGTAAGTTTGCATTAATGCCGCTATCTAATGTTCATCACACTGAGGTACCTACGAAGTGGTTTTGCATTTTCCATCCTAGAAAACTGCTGCATGCGCATATATTCTGATAATTGAAGGCCGGACTATCTGCTGAACTGTTTGTGCTCATAAAACTCAAACGAAAGTTATGCCCCCGTTAGGTACAATGTAGGAGCATACATTTTGTTAAAAAATAGCAAAACAGCATCGTATTTTGGCATAATGGCCAGTGTTTATTAATTAATGCATTTTAAAGCACACATGCAGGTCTACCGGCACTCGCTTGTTGCTTAGTCTTACAAAACAAAATGATCTGCCAAAGACAGTAAACTTGTAAATACTTCCTCCCTTTCTCCAACCTGGAAATAGGAACTAAATGGATGTTTGATATATTCCATCAGTTAACGATTATAAAAACTTTTGGCTTTCATTTTTGATTCATAGCCCGAAATATATGGAACTGACAGTGCCATATTTTATGCCCCTGGGATGAAATTTTCCTAGCTATAGTAATTATTTGAAAGCGCATTCAGAAATTCCAGCTGGTGCCCAATAATGCCGGCAGCTCCGACGTCTTTGAATTGTGATCCAGCGCTCCCAAGTAAAATTTTTCGTACTTTTTTAACCATTAAACGTTTTCAGAATGCTCGTTGACTAATAAACGTAAGCTTTCGACAAATTTTAATCAGAACAGTGTATTATTATCGAGCGCTTACATATCACTGCCCACTGTTTTTCTGAATTCACTGACGGGAATCTTTACCACATTAACAATATTTGTTGAAACACATGGCAGAAGTCACATTATACTATGATAATTTATGGATATACAAAATCATATATAATTATCTACCTTAGTAACAGCACAGGTTCGGCTCAATGCCCAAACACGATATGTGCCGGTATTCTGTCCCCGTTTAATATAGCTGCGAGGGGTTTGGTGCGTCAGCGTGCCCCCCAGTATTTCATATATGCTTTCAAGTTAAAACGCCAGTCTTGACATTTCAGTTTTCACTTTCCTCAAAAATGCATTTACGAAGTTGATGTATATCATCATATGCACGGCCTACAGGCAAAGAGCCAGATATCCACCTCAAATGTCGATCTGTGTCTTCAATATGGTGATCACATCGATTTGGATAATGGTTTCTAAGGAAATTAAAAAGCTGTCGGCTATTTTTTAGGTTTCTAGACTTATGCGTACAGGATATATGTATAAGATGGTTTATAAAATATTATAATATATTAATTGTCCAGTAATACATGAGCGCAAGCGGTTGCCTCAGTTAACGTATAAATCCTTCCTGATTATGCAAAAAGTATGATATGCAATATATTAAAGCACGCTTTGTTTAATAAAAACTTATAAGTCTGCTGCAACATTACATTTACTTTATTCACGTATTATGAAGGTCGGTTCTGTGGACAAAACCTACCTGATAAAATTATTGTGCAAAGCACACGCATGCTCATCGAATACTCAATGCCAGGAGGTCAATCTGGATCTGGATTAAGCGCCACATACCGAGGTAAACAAGGTTTAAATACCAATCCAGTACACTTTTTGCAATAAATTATCACAGCGGTTTACACACCTTTGTCTTAAATTCATGTGAACATAGGCATGTAGTTTGGAGTACAGATGAATAATTTGCCAAAGGTCCGTGTCGGGAGTATATATTGATTTTTTCTGAATGGTCGAGAATATGCGAGGCCCAA